TATTTAGATAATCGCATTTTAAAAATTATTTACATTTCAATGGCAGTTGAATCTCTTTATGCACTCTATTCGGACCATGCCAGTTCTGCTTTATTTAGGCGACGAATAGGATTTTGAGAACATATACCAGGACTTTTACGGATTGGTTCAATTATCTAAGACCCTTGGTATAACCTTTTCAGCGGTTTCCGCCTGCATAATACACCCGCCTTACTTGACGTTGCTTTTGCTAAATTCAAAGGCGCTTTAACCATGGGCGTATCACACCGCCTCGGCAACACGAGAAGTTGAGTTCCACCCTAACCTCTTGCTTGATGAATTGAAAGCCCTTACCCGCGTGTGGCGACAGCTTATTCGAGTGGCCACGGTATTGCAACATCCCGAAGAAAAATTAGCGCTTAATAGACCACACCGGCGCATTAGGAAAGAGCATTTGGCACCATAACCGATTGTGGGAGACAAAGTTAAGTAATGTAGCGGATAATAACTGTAAAGGTCGTGTTCTCCTTCTGGAAGTAAGGAAATGCCGAAACCAGGCGTGTTTACCATAACCTCCTATGCAGGATGATTTTGTGGTGGAAAATGATGCTGACAAAGCGACACTTTTCGCCGATCAGCTCGTTACTCAGTGCCGCCTTCTTATATTTGCTGACGCCGAGCACCAACTTGAGCCAATCACTCTAGCCGAAATTGTAATGATTATTAGCGCTTGCCGAGACGAAAGATGCCTGGCCCCGACGGTATCACCAATGTGATGTTAAGCAATTACCAATGGTGGCTGTAGATTGTCTATGCTGTCTCATCTACCCTACGATGGCTCTCGGCCCTTCTCCCATTGCGCTAGAAGACGGAAACTGTTGGGATACTCCCGAAGACACCACAACCAGCACCTACGACAAGCAAAATACAGACCTGTCAGTCTCTTGCCAGCCGTTGGCAATGTAGCTGAGGCGTCCATACTGTGCCGCTTGAAAGCATTTGGGGACGCAAGTCACTCCTTCCAGAGAGTCTAATATGTAATTCTGACAAGGACACTCCACTACACAACAACTCCTTCTCTTGTCAGTGTGGATGATCCGTGCCTTCAATTTAAAGAAGGCTACAGGCTCCGTCTTCCATGATGTCGAAAAAGCGTCTGACCGAGTTTGGCACAAGAGCTTGCTTTACATAATACTCGACCCTACCTACTACTCTTTTTAGTGGCCAAATCTTACCTAATAACCGCGTCTTTGAGATACGGGTGGCGACGGGCGCTCACCCCTAAGGTCACTCACAGTCAGAGTCCCACAAGGATCTCATTTATCACCAAGACTCTTTGCACTTTCTACGCGACGTGCCACAGTCTGACAACCCCCACACGTGGATGGTCTTATATTCAGATGACCGGCGGTTTTACTCCTAGTTAAAGTCACCTACCTTATTTCGCCAACCTCTGCAGTACTACCTACTGACCCTTGCCAACTAATGTCATCATTGGAAATTACTATTAGTGTGGAAAAGAGCAAAGCCCTTTTTGTCACAAAGAAGCGCACTACACCACTACCATCGCTAACCTTTGAAAATAAGGTATTCATTTGTGTTCTCAGGCGAAGTACCTGGGGATCATTAACGACAATAAGCTCTCGTGGCAGCCGCAAGTAAACTATATTGCGGCGAAGGTCAAGGCGGTGATTCAGACTCTTTGCCCTTTACTTTGTGCTCGAAGCAAACTCCCGCTGCACAACAAACGACGTTCGTATTTGTTGTGCATCCGACCGATCATGACATACGCGTCTACTGCCCGGGCCTACGACCCAGTAACAAATTCTCTTCGCCTCAAGTGAGACAAAACAAGCTGCTACGCCTTATGGTGGACGCGCCGTGGCTAGTTCGCAATAATGCCTTACATAAAGACCTCCATATTGAACCCCCGGGCAACGTTTTTCGACGCAATGCTATCGCCACCTACGAGCGGCTCACTCAGCACACCAATCAGTTACTAATAGACGAGGTCAACTTCTAATCTGGTCCTACGCACATCTCGCCGACAGCGCAGTCGACACTAAATATATAATATGGGTTAGGGGTAGAATTATTTGTAATACATCCATATATATATGAGATTGCTTTAACACAACCAACACAAGCTTAAAGCTAATTGTACGATATTACCCTGTTGCGAGCTGGTAAATTCTATATTTTCTTTTACGACCCGATCCAGCATTAGAAAATATCAATGAAAAATATTAAAAAAAAAATTTAGTTAGAGGGTTTTTCTCTTTTAGCTCTGTTTTTTTGCCTGTAGTTGTCCGCTGGGTGTTTTAATCTTGCTTGTTTACTACCTACGGTTTAGCAATTTAAAGAAGGATCGCATAGGTTGCGTTTAAAGAAAAACTTCGGTTGACAGACTTTACTTAAAACCCATAAATATTTCAACAAAATGTATCAAAATTTTGTTTTTAAGAAATTGTATACGTAACCACCAAATCCAGGAAAATACGAGTTGTCGACGACGAAAATCGAACCCGCGCCCTTGAGATTGCGCGGCAAGACTTTAACACTGAGCTACGGTGACGACTCACAGTTCCGCTCCTCAATAAATTACGTATTCAACTTCTGTTTAATAGCATTTGCATGCTGTTCCTATGAGCCTAATTATTTTTTTGTTTCAGGCGATATGCACATCGTGATGATTTGAGTTTGGAATTTTGGGGTTCATATTTCCCTTTGCACTTGAAGCAGTTAGTGTTAACTGGGCTTTTTATTGTTAGGATGAGTGCTAATACATTCCCAGCGTTTCTTATTCAGGAAAAAAAATAGTCGCCGTGTAGAGTGTGTTTATTTTCGGCGTGTAATAGTGAGTTTAGCTTCCTTGCTTATTGTATAATATTGTTCAAAGGAGATTGTGTCATATTTGTACTCCTTACCGGTTCTGTTTATTAAGATAATCATTTAGAGTAAGCCCGTAAATTTGAAGATGAGGGGTCACCTCTTGAAGTAGTGCATTGTTCCTGCACCATTATGACCTGGTGGTCTAGCGTGTTTAGCGTATTCTTGGATGGTTTCATTCTTATTATTAAGGTGTTGCGTAGTAATTTTAGCTTGGCCTCAAGTGTGGCTAGTAATATCTTTTTTATACAGTCTTTACCGTTTATAAAACCATTGCTGGTTTCGTTATGTCATGTGCTTCCATCCTTACCTTGATATTTTTATGGAGGCTACTTTTTATACCGGAATCTGATATCTTTTTAGCTCGAAACCTCGAATAGGGGTTATCTTAAGAAAAATATCATGTATTCTTTGTTCTGTGAGAACTAGTTTTATGTGAACCAGCCACTGCCTAAATTGAAAGGTTTTCTTTAATAACATTTCGATAATTTCAATTTGTTGTTTGGTGCTCAGGTGGTTAAAATTGCTAAAAAAAAAAAAAAAAAAAAAAGCGCTTTTTTATAAGCTGGTTACTCCTCTCTCGACTGCCGACCAATGAACTTTGGATCTCATCCGGTGAGCGTCTTTGTTTACTAATTATTTTAATTAAAAAATTTTTTAAATTTAGAATAGTTAATTTTTTTAACCAATAACCGGTCTTGCTGTTGCCATCTATATATGGCAATTTTTAATAGTATTTTGGTGTTGTAGTATGTTTTTTGTATTAACTTAAATTTTTATTTTTTTAAATAGTACTTTAGCATAATGTTCATAGCATGCACCTTACGAAATAAATAGCTTCTGCGGAAGGCCTCACAAGCAGTTTTTCTTGTCTGCGCTGAAGCTTGTGCAAGGGTTGTAATTTAGTGTGGTAGCCTGGTTAAGCGAGCGTTTGTTTGCTCATCTAGCCAGCAAGGCCATAAATTTGTTAATAAATAATTCGTTACCCTTAGGAAGGCGTACAGTTGAACACTACGCGGGGAGTGTGAGGATTTTTAGACAGTATAACAGAATTTAAAGCGAAAAAATAATTACAAATAAAGGAAGCTCATTGGCTGGGACCTGAAAGGTTAGTGGTTAACTAGAGGGCTCCCCCCTTAGTATATGGAACCCTAATATTGGCTTAATCCACCTTTAATTATTTTGTCAATTACTTTCTGCTGAGGCCGCACAGACAGTGGGACTTGCGTGGATCCGTACGGAGTATCTGTTTATACATCTGATCAGCAATGCGACTATTTCCGATAAATAGTTCTTGTTAAATTTCGCTGCTTTTTAGTGGGCGCTATGCATATAGTACACGAAAAAATGAAACAATTTATTTATTAATAAAAAATTAAAGAGTCATATTTGCGTAAAGTTTTTGTTTTGTAGAGTATAATCGTTTTTGGTTGTCTTCAGATCGCCCTTCGACCTTTTAAGTCCTTTTAAATTTTTTTTTTTAAATTAGTCTTCAGTATATTCGATATTAATTAAGTTATTCGGTTTTTCTTTTTTAGAATGACATGAAAAACTCCCCCCTCCCCATTTTTAATAAAATTCAAGTGTTAAAAATTATTAACTTATTGAAAATGAAATATGTGCCAGAGGTTTTTTGTGTTTCACTTGGTAGAGCCCTAGTTACTTAGCTTCTGAAGACTTAAACGCTTGGTCAAATATACTTTCTCGCAGAGGTGTTTATATCTAACGACGGCGTTGAACTTAATAAACCTTAAATCTTGTATTTACATAGTAAACAGGTTGTTTACTGTTACAATTATATTAGCGCGAAAGGTATAAGTTGTTAAATTATTATTTTTAACTTTTACAACTAAAATGTATACACACCGGTCTTGAACGACTGAAAAATTAAACTGAAAATTTTCTTAGTCAGTGTTAACGATATTTATATATAAAGTATAAATTGCACTAGAAATTCATTACGAAATTTAATTTAACCCAAATAAAAATATAATGGTTTGAAAGGTTTTGCTTCCGACCAAAAGTGACAAATATTTTGACCTATGACAAGTTGGTAACCTCGGTAGAACCTACTGAGAAACCAAACGAGTTACACGTCAAAAAAGCTATAGTTTTGACCTATTAGTAAAATATTTGTTGTTACGCGCTATTAAGGATATGGAGCGCAAGCTACTTAAAGATATTCGCAACTGTACTGGAGTCGAGCAATTTGATTTAAGTGGTTTTACTGAGGAAAAAGTGAACCAACTGATAAATGTACGACTATTTGGAAGGTTGTTTGCTGTTAGCAAGCTGTAATATTTTGTTACTCATAAGATAGGATTGTTTTTCTACCCCTATTGAAAATTGCGGTTGTTGCGTCACTTTTGTTGTAGGAGGTATTACACTTACTGTCGTAAACTATGATAATTATTTTTTAGATTTTACTTAATTATTTAGTCTACAAGCTTTTATTTTATCTACTTCCTATCTATTATTACGTTACCTTGTTTATTACTTCCATTTTTTTTAAATTATATTAAAAACTCATCTAACTTTTCTTATATAAGGCGGAAAGCTAACAAGAGCCAGGTATGACCCAAAACTTCAAAAGTATGTTACTGCTGCCTTAACAAATGTGGGGTACTCTGAGGATAGGGGGGCCTCAAAAGTAATAACTTCATTATATTTACGAGTAACTTTTTATCTTTTTGCACGGTATAATATTAAGGAAACACCAGGAACTTTTAAGTTTCAGCATGATATAGCTAAAAATCTTTTGTTTATACACGTCTTTCCATATGGAAAGGAGAAGGAATCGAATTGTAATTTAAGTAAACTTGACAATGGTATTATTCATTACTGTTTTATCTTATAGAGCCTCTAACTTAACTCTATAGTAAGTTCTGCAAGTAATATGCCAGACGACAAATCGTTAATTCTTCAGTTGACTTTGGAAGAATTTAAACGTTTTGCAAGTAAAAAAGGTTCTTACTGTGATAATTATTTGTTAGAAGTTTTAACAAAATATTATTGTTAAATAAAGCAAGAAGTTATACCGCTAAGCAGCGCTGCCTTGAGCATCTGAAGGAAACCTCAAGTGTTTGCAAAAGAGTTGAAGAGAAGCTTGTTAAGCGCGAGAGAATAAAGGAAGAAGAGCAAAGTATACATTTTTCTTGTAAATCAGTTTTCTGGTAATAAATTGTGTCTTTAGACCTTTATGACGTCTGTAGGGAAGTGGAAGAAAAAATTAAGTTTCTGCAAGCGCAACTTCAACGTCATGTTGAAGGGCTTCTTGGCGAAGACGTCCTACCACTTACTAAAGCAGTATTTCTTTTTACCTTTAAGCCCTATACATTTGTAAAGTCAATTTTTTATAGGAGAAGTCCCATTGCCTTGAGAAGATAAAAGCCAAATTGTTTAAACTTCAAGAACAACTCTCGAAAACTTGTAGAGAGTAAATTGGTTCTTTTACTTTACTTGGTAAGATTTCTTCTAGGCAATCTCAAAGAACAAAAAAAACTGAACTCCGCCATTGAGCAAGCGAATACTCTTATTGAAAAACTAAAACTTGCCGAAGTTACTTCGGTGTTTATCTTTCTATTATATTTCTTCAGTACTTAAGTGCTCCTTAACATTCTTTTTACTTAATAGTTTAATTTATACTAGGTAACACCTTTATTGTTCCAGGACAAGCTTATACCACTTTATAAGGCTCTTTTCGAATTGCTAAACATAAAAAGCAAAACTGTACAGACTATTGAAGAGATGCGTAAAGTGACTACCGAGTTGCCGGTTTTGGAAGGCAAAACGCTTATTTTCTAACGCTCAAAAAGATATGTATCTTTTTCTTAAAAGAAAAATGTGAAGTGCTCTTGAATTTATCTCGGGAGGCCTTCGAAAAGGACGATGAGCTTCGCTTGCGTGCAAATGCGCTAAAAAAGCAGGTTTCTTTAAGTAGTTACTCATGATGAAGAATCAGTATTTACACTAGTGAAACAGGCGAAAAAATCAGAGACCATAAGAAAGTTAGAAAGACAATCAGCAAAGTGGCGTATTTTTTTTTACTTTTCTTGTAAAATGAAATAGTAAATAGACCGTTCTTGCAACAGCTCTAGTTCGCGCAGGAGCTCCTCACAAAGAGCAAGCAAACCCAATGCTTTTCGCTAAAATTATTAAATTACAAGTCAATAAAGAGTTATTCTTCTTTAATATGTCCCCATTGCTTTTTGTTATCAATATTTTTAAAAACTTTTATGAAAAGCTGCTATAATTTTACCTTGGTTTAATGACAAAAACATCTCCCTTTCAAATATTTACAACAATCTTATTGCTACTAATACAAAAGTCCTTCTTTCGCATAAATTTTAAAGAGAAGTAGCTAACATTCCATTTAGTCTTCTCATTGGTAATAAAGTTCCAGGTTCATTCCATCATGGATTTCGTAATCGTCCAAGGTTATGTGATCTTTAAATATTTTGTACCTAAATAAAATTAATTAGTGCCCTTACATTTAATATAAATACTAGTTATTCTAACCATTTTTTTAACACAATCTTTTCTGGCCTAGTACCAGTTTGGGCGGCTACTAGTTTTTTCAAGTCCCCAATCGTATCATCTTCACTAAAACAAAAAAAATTTTGGAGTTAACGGCAACAAAAAAAACCGTGTAAGAGAAAGTATAAGACAAAACAAAAAAATTATCCCTACTTGCACTTTACTCTAACTTTTTTTCCCAGTCTGTCATTACAAGTGATTTCGATCATTTTTGGATAAGCAGACCCAATTGAATACGCACCTGCCCAAGCAGACGCACGAGGTTAATATTGTTCAGTAGCTCTTGTGAAATTGCGAATATTCCCGAACATTATTAATTCCGAAAAATTTACTAATTTTAGTTATAAACTGACACCAAGCCAAACTCTCGACGTCCACGAATCACTTGAGCTCGTTATTGTTGGCTTCAAGCCATTCAAACCGCTACCAAAACGAAAAGTGCCTGATCCCGATGGCATCACTAGTGGAATGCTGGAGGAAAAACTATTATGGGGATGCATTATCTGTACCTCCTGATAAAATCTGCGATGGTACTTGGCGTCTTTCCGGTAGGTTGGAATAGCGACCGTTGTGATGGTGCTGAAGTCACCAAAACCGGAATCAGCAACTAGCAAGTACTGACCCATCAAACTCCTGTCAGCGGTCGGCAAAGTGGGTGAGACCGTTTTATTACGCCGTCTTAAAGATGTCGTCGACGCTCGGGACTCCTCACTGGAGTGTTAGTTTGGATTTCGGCAAGGGCACCTAACGACCCAGCAGCTCCTTTGCTTAACTGTGTGAACCACTAACGCTTTTAACTTTAAGAAGTCAACGGGTGCTGTCTTATTTCGTCGTTAGGAAGGCAATTGCTCAAGTTTGACCTGAAAGTTCTGCTGCACAAGCTGCGCTCGCTATCCGTTCCTCATGGCCTTTAAACTTGCTAAAGTCATAACTAAACGGTCGCGCCTTCAGCGTGCGCGTGGAAGATACACAGTTGCAGCTGCGATTTCTGATAGCAGGGGCCCCTCAGAAATCACCTCTCCCGTCCCTTTTACTTAAAATGATATGAGCGACGTGCCCTTGCCCTTAATTCCACACACACGAACCGTCCTCTATGCCGCTATTATGACCGTTGCTCTTTGTAAGCCTCCCGCTTTGCAACGCAACCATCTACAGCGCTATCTTGTCGCCCTGGCGGACTGGTGCCGTATTTAGAAAGTTTCAATAAATTCGATGAAGAGCAAAGAGTTTTTAATTACAAAGAAACGCGTCCCTTTGTTGGCTTGAAGATTACGTGGGTTCTTACAACAAATTTTCCTGGCAGCCACACGTGGACTATGTAGCGGCGAGGGTCAAGAGCAACTAAGGCGCTTTACCCTTTACTATACGGCAAGAGCAAGTTTTCTCTGCGAATCAAACTCAAATTGTTCATGTTTTACATCCAGCCGATAATGGCATAAACGTCTGTTGCTTGCACCTTGGCTTTACTTCAATAGCGTGTGCAGAATCATGTTTTTCACCGGGATTTTGAGCTGAATCCTTTGGAGACGTTTTTAACACATTGCCAATGCCCTTTACGAAAGGCTAGCCACACACACTAACCTCCTGCTCGTAAGCGAACTCAATTACAAGTCATGGGACGGTCCACGTGACGTGGTAATCGCTAGTTTTTTTTGTTCGTCACTGTCAAGAAAAAAAATGACACCTTATCGTTCGAAAGCTGTTTTTTCCTTATTGAGAACTTGAGCATTCAAAGTTTTTCAACTCGATCGAACACCAGGAACTGTCATTTGTAAAAAAAAAAATTAATGAACTAAGTCAACCCCTTTTAATTTTTTCTTTATTTTGCTCTTTTACTATTGGACACGGTTTAATTTTTTTTTTTTATATCCTCGCTTATGCTAGCAGTCCTAATTTTTCGCTTTGCTGTTGTGGGCTTGTTAATGGGATTGCGTTACCGATAATAAAGTAGAATAAATACATATTTATGTGTCTTAAGTCGCATTTTGGCTTATTTGTTTTATATTATAACAAAACTTTGTTAGAATGGCAAGTTTAATAAATTACCTTTTATCACAGTTATTTAAAGGTAAGATTAAATTTTAAGGATTTAATTAATCTAATAATAAGGCTTATCTTTCGTTCAGGGAATTGAATTCTCACGTATTTTACTGGCGTTATGGAATTATATGGGTTAATTGTTACTACTGTAAAACTTATGGCTCCCTGTTACTCTACGGACTTATTTAATTATGCACTGGCATGCTAGTCGCCATGAGCTTCAAGCAAGAATGGGGTTATAATCTAACTAAAAACTTTGCACAAGAGTTGAGGTTAAAGACAACTAAAAGTTTAGATTAACAGCGAAGTAGAGACACCACTAATTTAAAGCTGTGCGCAGGTGAGAATAAAATTGAAAACCAAAGAGCATGGCATGGAGTGGGACAAAGAGAAGGACTAAGCGAAAAGTGTTTATAGAGAAGGTAACAGAATTAGGCCTTCTTGGTCTTAAGAAATAAAGAATAAAGCAATAACCACTCTTACTTGGCGAAATATATTCTTATTTTATCACTAGCATTCCACCGTTTCGATCTATAAAGGGATCTTGTGCCCCTTAATCTGTATTCTCTTACTCGAGAAGGCATGGGACCACAAGCCCACCAGTTTACGGTTTCGAAAGGAGTTACAACGACTGTCCCGAAACTGGAAAAAAGGGGAAATACCGGACTCAAACGCCCACCGTTTCCCCTAATACGGCGGAGGAAGTCACAGGTACCAGAGACCAGACAGCAAAAGGCCAGCTAGGCCTCCTCGACTGCTCGAAGGGCAGTTGCGTTGCCTACCTGGTATATATAAGCGATCGCCCCAGATTAACCTCCGCGAAGAACGCACTACAGTTGCTCGGAGGCCTTAGCAAAAAGTTATTTGTACTTCTAAATTAAAGCACATATAACAAACATTATTTTGAAACCCTTCCTTGAAAGTATATATTTAAAATAGGAAAAAATCTCTTTGAGATCTAATGAATAGTATTTATGAGTTAACTTTTTTATATGCGCTCTCCAAAATATTGCTATCTTATCGCGGTTCTACTTTGTGTTCTAATAGTTACTTGCTATATTTCTTCTAAAATATCCTTGTTAGTAAGACAAGCAACAGCCTTGGAGACACATCTAATAAGTTTGGTCGTATAACTATGTGTATAATCTAAAATTTCAACTTGTTTATCATAACCAATCGCTCAACCCCTTTTTTATAGTTTAAATAACTTTTCCGGCAACTTTTTATTTCAGAGCTGATGAAAACAGAGTATTTACCCGATATAAACACAACTGGTCTCTGCATCCTGTAATTGTCCATACGTATTATAAAATTCTGTTCATTACCGTCAAAACACTATCACGGCCCGTTTTGGCCTTGGGTAAATTTATTATATCCATGGATAAGCTATCAAGCGGTAGTTAAGGTTCTGCTTTATTACATTCATCGGTTTCCGCTTTGCATGTGATTTATTAGCAATTTTTTGGCATAAATGTAGTTAGTGAGTGCATGTAATTTGGCGAGGACTAAGTTGTAAAGTAATGTATATAAGCTATAGCCAGTGGCGCGATTCGAGAGATCTTTTTCTTCTCTCGCGTAGTTGCGGAGTGGCCGCTTCTTGCGTAGAGAGCGTCACTGGGCTAGTGAAATTAACACATTACAATATAGTTTTTAGTACTGAAAAATCTTTATTATGCTTCAGTCACTAGAGCAGAAAGTGTCAGTGCACTAAAATAACATACGTTACAACCTCATCTACTCCGCTTCTTTTGATTGGCCGCCATATCGTTGAAGTAAAGATCACACATTTTACTGTTAAAGGCACTAGTCTAATCTTCATTGGATTTCACTTGTTCCACATATACTTTCGCTTCTAAAATGTTTAAACCCTTCCCACAAGCAGACCTCTGTACATCTCCCCAGATCACTTTTATATTCTCTAAGTAACCTGTTTAAAGGCTCCAGTAATACAGCGTGGTTCGGTTTGTAATACTCCTATAGTTCAACATCTGCAACAAACCGCATATTTTTTTTTGTTTTTTAGGGTAGTGTAACTAAAGGCTTGTAGCCTTTCCGCACACATCCAAGAGCCTTTCTTACTTATCCTATATTTATACTATTTTACAGAGATCTTTAAAAAAAATACATTCCATAAGTCTTAGTTTTACGTTAAAGTTCCCATACCTGGAAATAAAAGCGCAAAGCCTTAAATGACCCATCATCAGATTAGGCAGTCATCCATTTAAACATGTGTCTCTGAGGGCAGCTGTTACGAATTCCATGCCCTCTGGTATTCAAATAGAGCATTTCATAATCAGAAGGTAATATAATACAGTCCATTGCACCCTACACCGTCCGGCATTGGAAAGCATAATATGATTTACTCTTTTTCTCTAACCCCGCTGATAAAGATCTTAAGCATTATCTAAATATAAAGCTGTTGCTGTTCCTCGCTTTTATATTAAGTTTTTCAGTCGAAAATGTATAATGCTTAACAATACCTTGTCGATTTGGGCCTGGAAAATCATCGCACAATTGCATTTATGCTTTTGGTTTAAATTGTTTATCCTCTTCGCAAGCGTTTTTCATTTCGGGTTTTGAGTTCTCCATGATTCCGCTCGTACTCCTTCGTTAATTCTGGTAACCTACCTGTAAAAGCTTGTCATACTTCCCTTGAAATACCCTACGCTTTAACTTGTCTTTAAAAAACATAACTATTCCATGCAAGACGAATACTACCACCCTTAATTTTACTCAAAAAGGGGCAAGTTTCATTTCTGACTTCTTATGGGGAATCTAGTTTAATCTAAGGATACGCTCTGCTTATTTTCTGAACTTGCTTTTTTCTAGATCCTCACCTTGTAAACTGCTCAACTATATCTGTACATCAAAATCACCTTAATGGATCAAGGTCAAACGAGGAAATAATACATGACCTCTCTTTAAAGTTTGCTGAAGATAATTAAGCTCTCGTATTTACTTCTTCCTGATAATACATCAATACCACTAAGAAACTGAAGCACACAAAATTAAAACATACTTTTTCTCGGGTTAGTTTTAGATACTTCATTTCTAGCTTATTTTTTAGTTAAGTAACTGACCTTAATTCTTTTTTTTCGAGCTGCTTCGAGAAAGGTTATTAATCGTAGTTAATCTTACAGACTTGAAAACTTGATGAAATAATATATTTTACACACATTATATTATAAATAAATATAATATAGGGTTAAAACTAAAAAGAGCTATAATACTTACTTTTTTGTTCCCAAGCCGCCTGAGTAGCACACCATCCTTTGTATCTTCAAATTAGAGTTGTGTCCTCAGCCGGTCAATCCAAAACTATATATAACATATGAAAGAAAGTATTTTATATATATTTGTATATAATACAGTAGTAATAAAACTTTTATTAAACTAAACAATAATACTATTAATAAATAATATAGTGATTTTATGTTTAAACTTAAATAGAGTTATTCTTAAATTTTTTGTGTGTTGCTTCTAGACAAAAGTTCTGCGTCTCCCACTAAACGTAAAATTAAGTTAAACTTCGACGCACAGACAGTAAAATTACGACACACGAAATGGGGTCTAGCTAGACCCCCTGAAATTGTTACCCATACGTAAGAATTAAGCATTTAAAAAACTATAATAAAAAATTCAATTAATTATAATATTCATTATAATTAATCTAAATATATACAAACTATTAAATTTTGCATAATAACATATAGTTCCAGGAAAAGGTTTTAAGCATACAAAATAAGTACACTACACGCACTTTCAGTCGTGCATTTCTGTTTATTTGTTTGATGTTAATTGCTCTATAACAATTTTTTTTCTGTTTCATGCCTAACTTTATTAAAAATATTTAAGACCATTCATTCGATCTATGACTTAACCATTCTGTTTTGACTATAAGACACAGTTTATAAGCATTTAGACTTGCAAAAAAAAATCAATGAGGTAAAAGAATATTTTACCATAGACATCGGTGACCAATGGATTTTTTTTGTGTTGAATATCCATTGACAAGTTCATAGGTACCATCAACAGCACCTGTAGTTTTGTTGCCAAGCAAGGTGATGTCTGGTTCATGACTAATCTCCACGAGTCACTTTGCCCGGAAGATAAAAAAAGCTTTTCATTTAAGACTAATACAATACTATTCTGTTCTTTTGAAAAGCGAACTTGCTTAAACGTATTTTCTTTCAGTTTGGAACAAACGCGTTATTTCTGTAGTTTACTGAAAGGTGTCTGACTCCTTTTCCACAATTCATAACCAAGTTGCGTACTGGCAAAGAATTTATCGATGGTAATACCACAACTTTGCTGGAAATACTGTACTATATTTAATCTTACCCTTAGTCCCTAATATTCCTCGGTGCATTTCCTTGTGTACCTGAAGCAAAAGTACTTATGTAACATGTAATATATATTAGCTTAGCTAAAATAAAGTTTACCCAATTAGTTCTGCATGTTTGATGTATATATACTCTAAAAAGGGCTTTTTCTCGAAAGAGCACAAGTTGTTTATCAAAACAAACATAGATGTACCCTTGGGACTCAAGATTCCTTACAATTTCAAATTAACTTCCAAATACCTTTCTTATTGGAAATAGTTTATTTGTTTTTTCAGCTCCTCTCGTATTTTTAAGTTCTCAGTCGCATAACTGTGATGATTATGTAGCTGTCTCTTGACATAATAGTAGGTACAATAAAACGACTAAAAGCCATTATCTTGAGACCAAGGTATGTTAAAAGCTTTAAGAACAATGCAATGCTTTAAATGCAAGAAGTACAATATAAGCCTTGATTTCGATAGCATCAATAAGTATAATTTCTAGATTTACTCAAAATTTTCTTATTCTATCTATTATAAAAAAAGAACAACTTTTATTAATGTCTCCGTTACAATTATGTCAACAATGTAAGGACTAAAAAACAAAAAAAAAACATCTGCACGCTATTGAACTATGTTTGTAATTTTCAAAGCAGTTTTCCAGTTATAGACTTTTGGTAATTTTGCTAGTTTTATTGTTATCTTAGACAATTTAGTTCCATCTTTTACATTATACGATGGGATACTTTTGAGTATAGCTACTTGGTTCTGCAAGATACGATGACGCCCAATAATCTACCCTAAATCGGAAACCGTAGAAAAACGCAGGACTAACCATTATGATAGGCGTATTAAGTAAAATCACGAATAAAAATGACCCCTTACTTAGAAGAAAAACAGTGCTAATCCCCAGAAGTGTAGGAATCATGAATTAGGGTGTTAGCCGGAGCTTTCAAGGCTTACAAGGCCATGACCAGACATTTAGCTAATAATTCGCTTACTCATTATGCAAAAAGTGCAATAAAATTAGAAGTTTTAACATTTAAATTTAATGGTCTAACTCACTCCCTTTAAGGCCTCTTTTAAACTTACCTTCACAGTTGAATATAGTTTCCTTGCTGGAAAAAGGAGTGGCAAGGGTGCATGTTTACTTGGGCAGAGTTTCAGTGATATGAATTTGGTGATGCTAAACTATTCCGCACAACAATCCTAGAAAATAATCCGAGAGTTTAAATCATAAAGGTAATTCGGCTATAGTAGGAACAAGAGTGTTAGTTAATGAGTTTCCTTTTGCTTAAGTAAAATCTTTATTTCTGGATGAATTCTCTTTGCTTCTCGATAAAGTATTAGATTTAGTAGAACTTTCTTTCTAGTAATTGCTTTTACCATTTTATATAGCTACGGATTCAGTCTTGACTGCAGGCTCCTCTTTCATCTTTTGATCAACAATAACCACATCATCTTCTTTGACTACTAACATTGGTACATACTTTTCTTTAACATCACTTGTAACCAATTTATTAATTTTATAAACGAATCATCGGTTTTAAGTAAAAACTGTCAATGCACTGATCATCTACAGCACACCATTAAAAAATTAAAAAAATAAATGCTAACTTAGTAAACACGTTAATAACAGAGCTGCTTTAAATTTTAGAGCCGTTTCGCCTTATTTAATATATCTATTATTTATCAATCATTATAAAAATGGATACGACTAGGTTTTAAAGCGAGACCTGTAGGTGTTAAATATTTTAGCATCATGTTAGAGGTAGCCTGTAAACTTACAGGCGCGGAGTGCTGTAATAGTTCAAATTTCCCTTTCTGTGCATCATTTTTGTAAATAATGAGTTTTAACAATGTTGAGTACAGTATCTACAAATATTTCCAGTGTTCACATGTTCTCTGTAATATTTTTTTTGGGGAGGATTATTAAGCATGAGCAATTGTTCCACAAACATAATGCTTTTCCAATGGCGGAGTAAGCAATTACTTGGACAGTTAATTATATTAGCCATCCTTTGTTGAAAAGAAAGATATGTACTTACAGATAATAAAGGGCAGCATAAAGAAAACTAAAGAAAACAGATTGACATAAATTTAAATGAGCAAACTTTATTTAACCGCTTACCATAGGTATAATACCATAATATAAGGTACAGTTTTCAATAGGGTGGTTTTATAATTATTACAATTTAAAATAATCGAACCGAAATTAACGGAATTAGTAATTAAGAAAATGTTGCTGTACCCCACATGGCGCTTTTATACCGGGGACAATGGTTCGCTCTATATTGTAGTATTTTTCGTTGCCCTTTTCATTTAGTAGTCAGCGTTTACAATGCGGGACGGTGGCGCCGTTCATACATCACGAAGATCATCAATGTTTATTAAAGGTTGTCAGTTGGAAGTTTTAAAGTACGCCACGGAGGTGGGTGGGCTAACAATTATTAAATCAGTGTGGGATCATTACATGTTGATACGCGTGAAAAATTGATAGCAGTTGGCATGTGAAAATTAAGTAGGATAGCAAGTCTAGAATACCTGAAGTCCTCGTGTTATATATTGTATGGACTTAATTAAAACTAAAACACCAGTTTATATCGTTTAGCCATAGTTCTAAATTTTTTTCATTGGAATAAGGGTTTTCACAGTCACATGTTAGGAGCAAGGCTTTTTCCGCAAATAATGGTTGATAGCTGAGAGATCGAAGATGAAGCCCTCAACGCAGAAATGGGGAATATTTTAATTAATTAGAGCGGTTACACTGCCGTCCCCTCGTGTTACTGTGGTCTTTCCTGCATGGTAGGTGTTTGGTGAGTTAAACTAATTCCCCTTCTTAATGTTTATTTCAAATTTTATTTTTTACTTATACCATCAGCTTTGCAAAAAAAAATATATATATTTAATTTTATATTGTAGAAGATGGAAGGGAGCCATTGACGCTGATTCAGTTTATCGAATAGATCTGTTGCAGATTTCGCAATTTGGTTACTAATAGGCTCATATAGTGAGATAACTTATTTTATTATAATTTCAGCTAGGGTGACTTGCTTAATATAATTTTTTTTTAATGGAACAGGTTCCTTGAGTTTAGTTTACTCATCTTTAGCTTGCAGATTTCACCATAGGCGTAGGTAGCGTTTTTTTAACATCTGTTGTAAGCTCTGTAATTATGATCTTGTTTAGCATTTTACACGTCAAAATCCGAGAAGAAAAGCTTCAAAACTGAAGTCTGAAGCAATTATAATTCTCCCTTTTTTTTTAAGCAAAAACTAAAAGAAATCCTGTTATTTGTAATTAGAAACGAGTACCTCATCTTAGGGTACTTTAAATTTGACCAGGGATAGGAACCTACGATTTTTATAACAATTTCGCATTCTTATGGCTTCTGTAAAGTGAAATTTTTAATCTTCTAGTTCAGATTTTTAAAAAATCTTTAAATATTAGCTTTTTTTTTCTTTCTTAGAGTATTGTTGATAGGAGAGAAGGTGGTAATTCAACCATAAGGTAGATTAAATCAGAAATATTCTTTTGAGTACCTTTTGGAATAATTCGCCCGAGTTTTAGTGCAAGAAGTATATGTTGGTCTTACATTTAGTTGGTGCAAAGATGTAGAGACACTATGAACCCATTCGTTAGTTTTGTGTCAAGCAGTACAAAGATAAGGTTATTTTTTGATCAAAAGTTATGAATATTTTAATATTTGGAAAAGTATCTTCGTGAAGCTATCGCTGTTAAGTAAGTTAGGTCTGCCAATACACAGTTATTTTTCTCAATACAATGGTTCACCCTACATTAATCACGTCACATTTTCTTTGTTTCGCGCTTGTGGTGTACTTTCAACCAGTGGTTAAAAACTGTGGGTAAGCCTATATCCTGTATTTTGTTTCGTACAAATGATGAAGCAAGCAATAAAAAATGTTCTTCCTTCCGTGGGTTCGCACCACAAGGAGATGTGTGACTTGTATTCTCTCAACAGTACCTTCAAGGTAAGAAAAGAATACAATACTAAAGAAGCGTCTAGCAATTATTGGATTAATTGCAATATTTTGCAAAGTGAATTATCTAAAATAACTTAACTTAATGAGAAAGAAAGATATTTAAACTCAGATTTTAATGCAGGAATGGGAA